ACTTTTTAAAAGAGAAAGTAGAATTAAATTTGTATAGCATATAGTCGAAGCCTTAGGATGTACCTGGTGTAATCACTGTCACTATTTGAGTCACCAAGAAGCACTTCCCAGGGGTTTCAGCACATCCCCTTAGTTCCTCCAGCCTGTGTTTACCAAGAGCAGAAGTATACGAACTCCTTTGTGATTTGCAGTTTCTGCAGATCTATACTTTACTGACATATTATTGGCTCACACATATTCAGAGAAGTGGGTGATAACTGTCACCTCTTCTACTCGAAGTTTAGACATTGAATAGATTAGAGATTTTTCTCTTCCTTCAAACCAAAATACACCATTAAGTGCAGTGTAAATTTTTGTCACTAGAATTTTGTGTCAAACTCGTATCACCAAAATCTACTCACAACTATTTTGATAGGTATTAAAAAAAAAAAAAAAAGAAAAGAAAACTGCACAGAAAGGGGGATAGGGGACAATTTTCAAAGCTCTTGGTTTGGTGCTGTGTCTTATACATATGCTATTGGGATATTTAAGCTTTAGGTATTTTCAGAATAATAGCAGAATTTATTGCAATATTTTATCTCTTCAAAAAAATGTTCTTATTAGAATATTCCATGGTTACCTAAAGACTGGAAAAGAATTTCTCATAATTTTGACCTGCTATGCAAATAATTTGCGTGAAGAAATTCAACTTTTGAATAAAAAACCGAGGAAGAGAGTGACTTGAAATTCATGTTTTTTTCACCATTGTCACTGTCTTGAGATATATTTGCCCAGTCTCTCCTCTTTCCAGTAAGTAGTTAACCCATATGTTTAGAGTATCCATACCTGAATTGGTTACCACATTTATAACTATTTCTAGAAATTCATGTGTTCTTATTAATTTATTCACAGTATGTGCTTTTCTTGCAACATTTTAAAATTTGATTTTGAATTTTTGTTTGAACAATGCTTATTTATATCATTTACAAAGTGACATAATACTACATGGCTTATAATAATGATTGTCCTCTACCTCATTCTTGTCTAACCTGGATTCCTGCTCCCCTGAGACAACAAGCATGCTTTCAACTTTTTTGCTTGTTTCTCCTGCTGTTTACTTCCACCTCTCCAAATGACATTCTTATACTGTTGTTTTCTTATTTTTCTTATTTGGACATTAGTTATCTACTGACTTCTTATTATGAATGATGAGGAATTAGCCTTTCTAAGCAAATCACCACACACACTTCGTTCTTTCTGTCTTTCTAATACAAGTTTTACATTATTATGTCTCAGGCACATAGTATATTATGATTACATTTCCTTTACTGTACTCTGGTTTTTCCTGGTGGTAACAATAGCTTTGGGGTTTTTTAAATTTGTTTTATTATTTATTTGTATACATATCACCAGTTTATTCCCAAATTCCTTTCTCCTACTATAACATTCCTCTTGATGTTGGTACTATTATAGAATACATCATCCCTTATTTATTAATCTCGTAATCTATTCATCCACTTTTTTTCTTGGAAACATCTTTCCTTGAGTTTCTGTCCTCTCCTCTGAGTTCTCTTTATTCTCTAGGCTTACGGTTACCCTTGTGGTTCCTTTCACTACTCATTTGTGGTAGATCCCCTTTTTCCTGGGTCCCATGTCTTCCTCTTTCTAGGTTGACTTCTTAAGTTTGATGGAGCACATCTCTAGTAGCTTTCTGAGAGTCCGTGATGTGAGGTAAATTTTTTAAGACTTTGCATTCTTCCCTTACATTTGATTGATAGTTTGTATATAAAATTCTAGATCAGAAAGCATCTTTCCTTCAGAATTTTGAAGGCATTACTTCAGTTGTCTTCTGATTCTCTGTGTTTACATAAAAAATTCCAGTGCCTTCCAATTTTTTTTTTGTGGGCAGTCATTTTTGGCCTTTCTAAAACTTAAAAATCTTTTCTCTAGTATTCTAAACTTAAAAAAAAGGTAGAATACCCATATTATAGTCTAAGTATAGAAAATGTGTTTTATTTTCACTGAAAGTGCAAGAACAAGGAAGGATAATTTTAAATATGATCTAGCAGTGTGCTTAGAACTCCAGTATTTGTAGAACTAAAAGATTCTATTCACTTCTGGCATTGGCTCAATATTTTATTAAATGAATCAGATTCAAGGTGTGTAATTCAGTACAAAGGAAACTTCCTTGGTTTACCTTAGCAAATATCTATTAAGATTCCGAAAATAAGATTGGAGCCACATTTTACTCACTAGATGGATTAAGTAGTTATGGACTTTGTTGGTTTTGGTGTTGAAGGTGATGAGAATATTCGCTGTCTTCATTCTTTTGTTGCCACCATTTTACACTGATTTTTTTTTTTTAAAGATTTATTTATTTGACAGAGAGACACAGCGAGAGAGGGAACACAAGCGGGGGAGTGGGAGAGGGAGAAGCAGGCTTCCCGAGGAGCAGGGAGCCTGATGCGGGGCTCGATCCCAGGACCCTGGGATCATGACCTGAGCAGACGGCAGATGCTTAACGACTGAGCCACCCAGGTGCCCCCCATTTTACATTGATTTTAAATTGTATTGTAATTATAAGTTATATAATTTATAGTATTTCATAAATATTATTTAACAGTTTTCTGCTTTTTATTTGTGGTATTTCTTGACTTTCGTTCTTTGTCCTTATTATGGACACAGATTTTGAGCCAGCCTTTACCATTAAGTCCAGAAAACTTTTCTTAAATAAATGGCCTTGTACACAGAGCTCATCTGGTTGACTCTGATTTTAGTACTGGTTTTGATGAAACTTTCAATATGAAAACCTGCCCTGATTATCTGCATTATGACAAATTACTAAGTATCCTCTCTCTAAAAAAAGTTTTACTGATAAAGCCACAAAGCTATTTTTCAGCCCATGCAGAAAAGCAGATAATCCTGTTTGTTTGAAATAGCTTCTGGGAAGTTATCTGGGATAAGTTTTTCAGCCTCAGTTTAGGTTAGAATAACACAAGCCTCTCAGGAGATCTCCCAAAGACAGTGTAAGAGTAAAGAATATCACAGACTGGACAAAAACATAATAATGAGTTATTTAGAACCAGTTGATAATGGGAAACATTCATGTTTCTTTTTGTTTACAGCAATCTGTAATTCAGAATCCCATGTTACTACAAATAAAGTTATTCGTTGGAGATTTTGAGAGGACTGAACTCACTGACGATTGCATCTGTCTCTTTCCACATAATCCTTCTGTTGGATTTCATATTCTTTGAATCAAAAGAAACTACCTGAGCTTTTTTTTTTTTTTTTTTAAGATTTTATTTATTTATTTGACAGAGAGAGAGAGCGCGTGCACAAGCAGGGGGAGTGGCAGGCAGAGGCAGAGGGAGATGCAGACTCCCCGCTGAGCTGGGGGAGCCTGATGTGGGACTCGATCCCAGGACGCTGGGATCATGACCTGAGCCGAAGGCAGTTGCTTAACCAACTGAGCCACCCAGGTGCCCTGCCTTGGCCTTTGTTTCTGTTGGCATCATTTCCTGTCCCTCTCTGCTTGGCATTGTTTTAGAAACCTTCAACAGTAACTTCTGCAGTTTTGGAAGCTGCACTTTGCTGCTCATGGGAGGCCACCTGGAAGCATTAAGATTTCAAGAAAGAACATTTTTTGATATAGCTAAACTTCCCTGTATAAGACAGAACCTTACTTATGGGGCTAAATCAGGGTATTTTATAACATTTTCTCCTGAAGAATGAACACTTTAAAAAAATGAACGTGACCTACATTACTGAAATGTGAATATTCTTTTTTTAATCTCATTTTTTTAGTTGAGAAAAATGAGAGAGAATAAAAAATTTGTCAACTTTTTATTATGAAAGATGTTAAATAGGAAGATATTCTTTCAGTGCTGGGAGAAGAATCTGACTTACCTTTGACAGATTTCGAGTTCTGGATTTCTGCAAAGTTGTTAGAAAGGACTTTCTGTGCCTTGCACTTATAAAAGTGAACTACAGTCTAATTAAATGAGAGTTGCATAGATGAATGATAAAATCCTTTGATATCTTTTACTGATACAAGTACTCTGAAAGTTGGAGAATGTTTCAGTAACTCTTGTTCTTTTGTTTTTAATTTAATTGTGTTAATAAAAGGCAGCGCTTTCTTTTTAATCTTTTGGTTCTAGAAGAATTCAAAGAGGAAATGCTTAATAATAACCTGATGAATCTAATTCTTAATACTGCTTGAACTCTGCTTCATTTATCCTTCTTATTTTAAGATATTTCCTTTCTTACATGTTCTTAAAGTTCTGTTGGATTTTGTCTTTCTGATAGAAATCCATATTTACCTTCCCAGGAGTTAATTCTTAAGCTTATTTAGAATATCAAGGTTAGTGGGAATTGGTTGGCTAACTAATTTACTCATCCTTAGCCCGATCACTTACATCCAGTTACCATTTTTAGTTTTCTCATATGAGATTAAGAGAAAACTTTGATGTCTTGAAATCATTAGGAAACCACCTTCTTTTTCATTTACTTTTTTTTTTCCTAAATTAGTTTGCTAACAATTGTCTATATGAAGAATATAATCTGAAAAATCATGCTATTTATCTAACTTTTCATCAGGGCTGAACTTTGCAGGGAGAGACTGTTTTGGTATTGAGTCTTATTACTTAGGCTTCATCAAAGCTGGCTTAAAGCCCAGTTTAGAAAGTAATTCAAAAAACAGCTTTGTGTTTTTAAGTAATCAAGCCCTTGCTGCCTATGCTGCTTAACACAGTTTTAGTCTCTCTGTTACAGAGAACAAATCCATCACTAATTTCTCTTGCTTAACTAACTTGACCTTTTGCTCTTAATAATCTACTTCTCCAACCTCCTATTATACTTCTTTTCTTCCCTTGTTCTTTCCTCTGTGAACATGTCTTTCTGGCTTGGATTTACTTCTGAAAGTAAGAATATTTCATAAGCAAATAGTCCTTTCTTGATAAATAGTCTCTCCTTGCGTTAACTAATTAGTCTACTTCACCTAGTCTTCCATCGTTTTCCAGGACAGTCTCCGTAAGAAGGATGACAGGATTGAAGAGCTGGAAGAAGCACTAAGAGAAAGTGTACAGATAACTGCAGAGCGAGAAATGGTGCTAGCACAAGAGGAGTCAGCCAGGACCAGTGCTGAAAAACAGGTCTGCAATTTTATACAGTTACTGGCAATGTTGCTGGTTAAACAAAAGGTAAAACCCAACCAGTATAGTTTAGGTAAACTGTACATGTGTTTATAGGGTTTCAAAAGCACTTCATCAGGTGTAAGTATTTAAACCTAAAAAAGAATTGAAATAAGGTTGAATGAGAATGACTCATGTTAAGAGTCTCTGCATTAGTAATTTGGAATTTATTTCACATATATAGCTGTGGTATATGCTCATGGATCTGGTGAGATGAAATGGAACTTGTCTGTTTGTTCCAAGACTGGTCACAATCCTGCTTTTAAACTGAATGGGAAAACACAAACATTTCTGAGTTAAATGTTAAATTTAAAAAACAGTTCATTTATTTTATACCCTGCCTTGTTCAAAAGAGCAGTTAAAGTTATAACAAGGTATTAACAAGGTTAATAGCAAGCATGAAGGACATGGTTATCGTGACATTTGAGAGCACCGGGGCAGCATGCCTCAGCCCTGAAGTGACTTGTTAAAGGGTTCTGCTGCTTCTGTGTGTGGTGTTTGCTTTATATATTCTTCTCTGTCTTTTAGATCCCTGTACACTTGCTTTTGACTTTTTGTTAGGAAGGATAACTAAAATTGAGAAATGTGAATGGAAAAAAATGGTTCTAACAAGCAAAGGCTCTAATCTCAATTCCTAGTATAAGTGTGATTTGAGGTTTTGAATCTCCCTTACACAGAGATTCATGACATTTCATTTTTTCAGTTATTGTTTCCTTTCCATTTCTTTGTTGGAGAACTCTACCTGCTAAAAAGGTAAAAAATTCAGTGAGAGGGTAACCTGAACCTTTGGGGAACCCCCATGATGAGACCACTGTGGTCTTGTGAGTTAAGGTAGTTGCATAGCAAGGAAGCAGACATGGTGTAGTGTGTGCCATAGGGAGTCCCTTCATAACTGTGTTAGTGTGAGCCTATGGTTTCTTCAGTGCTAAATACAGAAAGAAAAACAGTTTTTAGCCACACTGAAGAAAAATGGAACTCTTCACAGTCTTTCAGTGTCTTTCAGTGCCCTGTTCCTACATAAATGCCTTGTCCACTTCTAATTTGAATATTTCCTGGTACACAGTTAAATAGAGCTTGGGTAGTAGAGAGCTTCAGAGAAGGGATGGTGACAGTCATTGATCCAGGGTGAAAAGGGATCTTCTTTTATCTTGATTTTACCTTTTTTATATTCTTACCTTTATTTTCAAAATGTCCCCATTTTTTCTTTCTTTAAAGATTTTTTTTCTGCTTGGGGATCATTATTTAGTGACAAATCTTACATATTGGGGGTCATGTAGAAATGTTGGCAATTAATGAACATGACGTCATTATGGCATATAAATTGCTAGTATGTGTTTTTTAAAATGTCTTACTGTGTGAACTAGTTATAATTTGCTTTTTTGGGGGGTAGATTTTTATATATTTATGTGTTTATGTATTATTTATAATAGACTTATTTTAGATCAGTTTTTTGGGGTTTGTTTTGTTTTATTTTTTAGTTTCTGGAAAAGTTGAGCAGAAAGTACACGGAATTCCCATATTTTCCTTCCTCCACTTCAGTTTTCCCTATTGTTAACATCTTGCATTGGTGTGATAGATTTATTAGAATTGATGAGCCAGTATTGATACATTATTAACTGGTCCATAGCTTACGTTTTGGTTCGCTCTTCATCTCATACAGTTCTGTGAGTTTTGCCAAATGTATCATGTCATGTATTCACTATTACAGTATCATACAGAATAGTTTCACTGCCCCAGAGATCCTCTATGCTCTACCTGTTCATCCTTCCTCCATCTCCCCAATCCTTGATCTTTCTCCTGTCTCCGTAGTTTTTCCTTTTCTAGAATGTCATGTAGGTGGAATCACACAGTATGTAGCCTTTTCTGGCTGAGTTTTTCCATTTAGCCTTGCATTTTAGGTTCTGCCATGTCTTTTTTTTTTTTTTTTAATTTTTTTTTTAAGGTTTTATTTATTTGCGAGAGAGAGAATGAGAGACAGAGAGCATGAGAGGGAGGAGGGTCAGAGGGAGAAGCAGACTCCGTGCTGAGCAGGGAGCCCGATGTGGGACTCGATCCCGTGACTCCAGGATCACGACCTAAGCCGAAGGCAGTCGCTTAACCAACCGAGCCACCCAGGCGCCCATGTCTTTTTGTGGCCTGATAATTTTGTTTTACTTCTGAATAATATTCCATTGTATAGACATGCCACAATTTGTTTATTCCAGTTGAAGAACATCTTGATTACTTCCAATGTTTGGCAATTATGGATAAAGCTTCTGTGAACATTTATGTATAGGTTTTTTTTTTTTTTAAGATTTTATTTATTTATTTGACAGAGAAAGACACAGCGAGAGAGGGAACACAAACGGGGAGTGGGAGAGGGAGAAGCAGACTCCCTGCCGAGCAGGGAGCCCGATGCGGGACTCGATCCTGGGACTCCAGGATCATGACCTGAGCCGAAGGCAGTCGCTTAACCAACTGAGCCACCCAGGCGCCCTATGTATAGGTTTTTGTATGGACATAAATTATCAACTCATTTAGGTAAATACCTGGGAATTGCTGGATTTTATGGTAAGACTATATTTAGCTTTGTAAGAAACTGTGAAAACTGTCTTCCAAAGTGGCTATATATAATTTGCTTTTAATTGCATGCTTTTTTTTTTCTCTCTCTTTCCTGTTTATCTTTTTTTCCACCATTCTGCTACTCACTGCCTATCTGAAGCTGTTGAGTGAAATATTGCATGAGACCAGTCATTTGGGCTCTAAGTGGTTTAAGGTATGAAGAAGCCGCTTTTATGTTTATATTTCTGAGGCCATTACATCCACTGTCCCTTCCTGCTGTCATTTTCTGTTCTTATTTTTATCTTTTTCTGTCTTCTAACTCCACTGTTAATTTTACTTATATGTATTAATTGTATATACCAAGGTAGTCTACAAATATTCATTTGAAATATCTTAAAAGGGTAAAGCTTTTTTTGGCTAGGGACATTATTCTTATTATCTTACTCAGGTCCAAAAATTACCTATCTCCTATCTAAATTTAGCCTCTGAGAAGAAATAACTCCCTCTGTTAGAAGGAGGATATTTCTTAATCTCAGGAAACAAACTGAGGGTTGCTGGAGTGGTGGGGGGTGGGAGGGATGGGGTGGCTGGGTGATAGACATTGGGTAGGGTATGTGCTATGGTGAGCGCTGTGAATTGTGTAAGACTCATGAATCACAGACCTGTACCCCTGAAACAAATAATACATTATATGTTAATAAAAAAAAAAGAGAGAGAAGATAGTAGGAAGGGAAAAATGAAGGGGGGGAAGTCAGAGGGGGAGACGAACCATGAGAGACTATGGACTCTGAGAAACAAACTGAGGGTTTTAGAGGGGAGGGGGTGGGGGGATGGGTTAGCCTGGTGGTGGGTATTAAAGAGGGCACGCATTGAATGGAGCACGGGGTGTTATATGCAAACAATGAATCATGGAACACTACATCAGAAACTAATGATGTAATGTATGGTGATTAACATAACATAATAAAATTTAAAAAAATAGGATATCTGTATCTCTTGATTGCTTAAAGAGCAAAGCAAAATTATTTGGGAATAATCTCTCTTAAATAAAATACAGAGCCTTTTAAAGTTTGAGAGGGGAAAACTCACAAAGGAAAAATTTTCTTCTTATAGGATCCCCTTATAGTTTCTTTATTCCCAATACATGCTGCTCCATATTGAGCCCATGCCTGATATATGAAGAAGTTGTATAGTGATCCCACAAAGGAAGATGTCCTATAACCTGTGTTGTCAAATGGAGAAATGAAAGTGAATAATCCCACGGGGGAAACCCAAGGGCTCCTTTTACTTTTGCTTTGTGCTTTTTTGCATGGATTTTCTTCTTCTGAAACTTGCCTCTGCTCAAGTTTAAGCAGGTTTTGTTGAATGTGAGAGTCCATTTTCTTAAAATGAGACTAGAGTAAAATCTGTTCTCTTAAGTCTCAGAATTGTGAGGTGGTAGGGAGCAATGTCCTTAGTTCAGCAGTGCTGCTATAAACTTAAATTTTTGAAATGCTTTTTTTTTTTACTTGAAAAGAATGTTTTAAATATCTTCACTAAGAGTAAGTTTATTTTTTGAAGAAGGCTTTTGCAACTACATTGCTAACTAAAGTTTTAAAAAATGCCTCTAAATAAGACATTTTCTTGTGGCTCAGTAAGCTGGGTTTATATCTGTTCCTAAAGAGTATTTCTTAATGTTTTGAGCATTGATAAAGATATATCCTCTCAATGTAACTAAAATTTGCACATCAGTTCTGATTTTTATTTTTAAAAGCTCAGTTTTTAATAGTGGTACTCTTTTTTTTTAATTGCCATTTTGATGTTATTTGGCTTGTATGTTAAGTATAAATTTTGACCTAGAAGATCATAAGGTTTTACCTATGATTTGCAGGTAGTTATAGATCAATGAGCATTTTTTTAAAGATTTTATTTATTTATTCATAAGAGACAGAAAGAGAGAGAGAGAGAGGCAGAGGAGAAGCAGGCTCCCCGCTGAGCAGAGAGCCGATGCGGGACTGGATCCCAGGACCCCGGGATCATGACCTGAGCCGAAGGCAGACGCTTAACCATCTGAGCCACCCAGGCGCCCTCAATGCACATTTTTTAGGGTTTTATCTTAAAAATTTTCCCCAGATATTTGCATATTAAGTATTGTGCATTCTAATAATTAAAATCACTTGAACAACAGCAAAAAATGGAACTCTGAATAAATGGCATTTTATAGCCCAACGGGACATGTTGGACCTGCTTGGTTTTCACTCTGGGTCTCATAGAGTACCCAGCTTCTTCCTTCAACATTCAAGTTCTTTTCCTTCGCTGCCAGCCAGACAGGCAGGTGGGAGAGCCAGGCTTGGCCTTCACTGTCAGTAGTTCTTGATTCTTTATTGTGAAAATGGACAGTAGAGTCATTTAAATTTGATCCAGCCTCTGCGTCTTACAAA